GGGGACATGTTTTTGTAGTCTTGGTGGGGAAGCTGTTGGCTCGGATTGTTGTCATGGTAACAGTGGATGTAGATACGGAGACACTGATGGACTTTGGGGATTCCCCTGACAGCACTTGCTGCTAGATTGAATGTGAATTGTGGGGGAAAGAACATAGCATGGCTGACTGCTGGGTCAGAGTGCGTTTTCCTGGGATGGCGCACTCGAGGGCATTGGTGAGTTGTGGAGGAGTAAGAAAGAATTCTCTTTGGAACACTTTAAGCCAGAGACAGTTAACTGATGCAGACTTTTCTTAAGTCAGGCTGTTCCGTGGAGAGTGGGGTGTGGAGGGCCCTGGGTGGGCCTCAGCGGGGACGGAGAAAAGTATTCAAGGCCAAGGAGCAAGGCTGGAGGGGCTCCAGTGGCATCCTGCAGGCGGTCAAAGGCTTTAGCTTCTCATCAGTATAAAATGGGCAACCACGACAGGGCTTTAAGTGTGACCAGAGCTGACCAAAGGCCTGTTGTGGGGAGAACGGTCTATAGAGCTGCCAGATTTAGCAAATAAAAACACAGAACGCCGTGTTGAATTTGAATGTCACATCATGAACACATAATTTTGTATAAGTATAGCCCGAGTAATATTTGGGATATACTTATGCTAAAAATGTAGTTGTTGATCTGATATTCAAATTTAACTGGTGTTTTGCTTTTGACCTGGCAACCCTACCACAGGGGTAGGAGGCGGGGCCCCTGCAGGGATTCCAGGGAAACCGGAGGGGCCAAAGTGGCAGCAGGGGAGGTGTGAGGGGAGGCCCCAGAAAACACAAGAGTGGCCCTCTTGGTGCACTAGTGCAGAGAACACTGGGAGGAGGAGCTTCTCGGCTCTTCCAAGAGTTGCTCCTCGAGGAACTTTTACCGGCACCTTCCGAGCCTACCGGCTCCGCATTATCCTCTTCGGGGAGGGGGAGCAGCTGGGAAGAGGCGGCAAGCAGGGCACCGCGGTAACCCCGCCTTCCGCACCCCGCAGGGGTGGAGCCTGAGCGGGGATCTTGCGAGCGGCCTCCTCTCTCCGGATGACGAGTGGCCGGAGAACATGGAGTCGGGCAAGATGGCGCCTCCCAAGAACGCTCCGAGAGACGCCTTGGTGAGTGCGAAGGATGAGAGGCGGGGCGCAAAGCTCGGCGCGGCCAGGAGCCTGGGACGCAGGCCCGGGCGTAGGGCCTGAGAATGGTCTCCGTGCTGGCTTCGGCCCAACCTGTGCGGCCCGGAAGGAGTGGGATGGGGGTGTCTGGCTCCGGGGCGCGCTCCTGCCATCCCAGCAGCCCCGCTTTGTCTCCCGGAGCTCGGGTCCCCGCCGCCTCGTCGTCTCGCCGGGTCTGGGAGCCCTGCCTCGCGCGGCCAGAGTTCTGAGGCTAGCCAGCTGCCCTGTGGCCGCATCCGAAAATGACAGCCAGCTGTAGCCACCCTGCCTCCGCTGGGAAAACCAACCCAGGCCTTTTTTTTTCTCTCTTT